TTACTGACGTTCAAACAGCGCCCTCCTTTTTCTGGCGAGTCTGGTGATTGTGGTGAGCCCCTAGAGGATGATGTCATAGCTGACCTCGCAGGGGATTGATCCATAGGAATTACATCTGACCAATAAATCTTAGTATACCTGCACTGCCCACGCCATCAATCCATACAGAGGCTTCGGGAACAAAGGAGAACGCTCCCACGGAACAACTTTTTCAATCTTCACCCCGTATTTTTGTGACGCAATTATCGCGCCTCTTCTATTTGCTTGGTACCACGTAAATCATGACAGCGAGCAAACAGTGCTGGAGCATGGGGATAGCGACAAATGGGCGAACGGTATAGTCTAACAAGCTGTATCATTATGAATACAGCAGACCTGCTAAACGATATGGGCACACAAAATCGGGCAATCGTAAACATAATGAGGGGAGGGGCTTTCGCCAAATGACATATGATTGACAGGGCTAAAAAGCGGGCTCCATACAATTGAGCGGATATTCGGACTAATATTTATACCAATGTGGCCACAGCGACACAGAGAATTAACAGGAACGATTAGATTTCTGGAAATGGCTGGGGAACGGAACATGGATAAAAACTCCCAAGCGCAGCTAAAACCAACGCATCGGACTTGGCTTGTTGGCGTAATAATCTACGCCAACAAGCCAAGTCAAATCAGGAGTATAAAAGGAAGAGGAAGTATAAATCAGTGTGAATTTTAGTCAGTCGCAGCCTAACATTGTATAGACAGCTAGTCATTCAAATGCTCCGGCGCTTCTAAACAGAAATCAACGCGTGGCGTATCCAAGGTAGATCAGTGAATACTGTGAAGCTTATGCTAAGCGATTATTGAAAAATACTGAAGAAAACTTTCCAGACGCCCAATAAATAAATTTTTTAATTACAAGTCAGACGAAACCAGTAAGCTCACTGCCTGTAGCCATTCTTTTGGTCTCCTTGACTGTCTTGTGGCCAAGTCTCGAGTCTCCAGTCCCGTATCGATACTTACCCAGGCCAACCAAGTCCTACACCTTTCCGAGGTCGATTAACCGGGCCGACTTGTCTGAAAGGATAAAGGCACTAGATTGTACATTAGTCGGCCATCGCAAGTCATGTTATAGGCAGCATACATTCAAACCGCAACCACGATTCTGAAAAAAAGGTAAGTAGGAGAGCATCGTAAAAAAGGATTGACCAAGAGAAGACTCCACCCTCTGGACGACAAGTTAATCTGCATCGAAGAACACAAGCACCGAACAAGCCTTCGAAAACATAAAGGCAAACACTACAGAGCATTAAGCTATTGAATCATCATCACTGATCGAAAATCTAATTTTCGGTTGATAAAATTTTTAGAGCGAAGTCTCAGAAACGACTAGTTTCAAGAGGAATTTGCTCAGACCCATACTGACTTCTTCTGAGCCCTCCATTTAATTACAACCATCAATACTATCCGTTTTTCATAGTCTCTCTATCGGAATGTTGTTCCAGCATCTGCCCAGCACGTCCTAGAACCCATGAGGTAAAGAAATCACATTAAGTCGAGTATGAAAAACCGCCTTAAGATTAATTAGTAGAAGTAAGCCGAAAATAAGGTTGGAATGAATATAAATACAAATCTATATACTTAAATACGTGCATTTGCAGGTGGAGCTTTGAAGAGCGAAACCTTCATCGCCACCAAATCAAATCTCACTCAGACCAACCCCGTCTGGATTCTTTTCCTGTAAGATTCCTTTCTTCTTGAGGTTCAATCTGAAAGAGAAGTCGTTCCCAGATGAAACCTTATCGCGTGGATGCCTTTCTAGAACCAAGTAGTACTCACGTTACCACAGGGATGGCTAGGATAGATATCGGGTGGTGATGTCTTACAAATACTGACTGCCCCATAACACAACTGGAAAGAGGGAGAAGCTGCGCTATACTAACAAATCCATATAAACCTTTTTTTGAAAAATGTAAGAAAACCGAATGGGTACGTAGTCCAAAATTCAATAAGGTGGCACGCTTGAAAAAGTAGCTATTCGAGCTTCGATGACGACATTTTTTGTCAGAATAAACCTTATGGAACACAGTAGCAGATCGTTCCGCTCATACAGCATCGCCGCTACCGATGGAGCCAGTTTCTAGCCAAGCGTTCCAGACTACTTGGCGAGCCCAGCGTGAGACACGCTTCTCACCCCCTACCGACTTTATTACTGCCATAAATCCTTTCGTGTACAAACCGAGAACGCCATAGATAACCGTTACACTTTAGAATGTGCCATGCGCTCGACAAAATTTCGGACTTGTTACAGCATTTGAAACGACACAATTTCCAGAAGAGTGACAGCCCTAACTGTTACAACAAAATATAACAGTATTATTACCCAAAGGCAATATGATACGACCAGGAAAACAAGGTTGCCGTCTTTTTAGAACACTGATCTCCAAAAAAAGTAGTAAAAGTATAGACTTATAGTTCGAATGGTGGATGTAACGTGAAGATGTTCATCATAATAAAATGTTGTGAAAAGTCGATAAGGAAGAAACTTGGAATTATTATGAGGTCAATTGCATTTCGCACTGCCTCGGCTTCTAACAAGATTGTGGGATCGTCGATTTACTCAAAAAACTTGAGTGTTTCGGCAGCAGCAAACCAGTTCAGCAAGCGGCAACCTATTTGCTGAAGCTTCCTTTGAAAGGGATCGACCTGAGCATGGAATCGGGATAACCAAACCCTGACCTACTACGAAGACCGAAATGAGAGTTCGCTAAGCGAACAGAGGGAATGAACAGCACATGTTTTCCGCGATAACAATTAGTGACCTGCTTAAAGCCTTGGGGCAGTGGGAAGTAGCCCTGCTGCCAGATATAGAGGCAGGGAATCAAATTTCGCGTTGGACACCCCCAGATCCAAATATGTTTATCAACACTTCCAGGCTATTCAGTTCCAAATGAATCCGCCTCCTCAGGTATAATTAGCCATATATTCATCGACTACCCTTATTTTCATTGTATATGCCAAAAATACATTCGATTATTAGTTTGATTCTGAGAGAGTCGAAGGCGTATCTAAGGAAGGAATGATCATACACCAGAGTACAGGGTACAGGTACATACAGCGTTTGAAAGTACCTCTTCCCAACTATGAGGGGCATTTTCTGATAATTTGTTGGGCTGAGGGGGTTCTTGATACAGAATCTAATCTTCAGCCGTGTGGTTGTGCTAACTGCAGCATTCCGTTTAACCCTATCTCCGCTCAGGCTTACAGATACTTTTACTGAGAAATTTCCACCTTTTCTAGAATCTTCGACACTATTTCTACAGAACTCTTGTTTCTGAATGTTTCTAAAGTTTCTATGCAAAAGTGAGGACTTCAGGAAGGGTATCAAACAATAACATAGCAGTTATTGCTGTCGCACTCACTATGTGACAACAACCAAGAAAAACAACCAGTTGTAGAAAGAAAAACGATGTTGCGGCACAGGATCGAAGCAGCTTTTAGGCGGTTTTTTTCTGACCATTCATTTCAGCCTCTAAGTCTCGTCTCTCTCAATGAGTAACTCAAAAGGGATGGTGTTACGTAGGACATTGAACCAAGGTTACCCCATCGTGGGTTACCTTCCTGTACGTGCCCAGTTATTCGTTGATAATTTCGCTGATTCTATGGCTTAAGAAATAAATCGAGGGCAGCATGGTGATCTCCACGAAACTCCTCAGAGCATTCTTTATCGCTGCACCTCGGAGGTATGATAAAAAGTAGTTAGAAAAAATAAAGCGCACCTGGCAAATCGATTAAGGCCAACGACAAACGAGTGAACGACTCGGCAGATGGATCAGTAGAAACCACGGAGCCATCGAAATGAGCAAAGTCAGTGAGAGAAAGCGAAGGCTCGAATCTACCTAGAAAACCTATGTTTGTGTTGAGATTGTCATCCGTTCTGAAGAAAAGAGATAATAGGACTTATTGCTACTAATCGAGGGATGAGGAACATAAAGGATAGTCGAGATAAAAGCTGCAAGGATAGGGCCTTATGTGGCTAACTAATAATTGATCTGATGAAGCGCAAAGGCGGTATGTATACCGACCCCGCAGGTGGTGACGTTAGTTTTCTTGGGACTTCACGATGTTCGACACCTCCACCCCAACGTACCTCAGACAACACACTGACGGAGACGTAGATGCGCCCTCCCCCCTTTTTACAACCATTTATCAAAGTGTAGAAATGCAAATAAGAATTATACCAACTCGATCGAGCTCATGCATAATTACTAAAGCATAAATGGGCATGGGTCAAGAGATGCCATTACGGTCGCCACGAGGTCATCTCAAGCATGGCCATTCTGGGCTTGTCGTTTCGGGCACCCAAGTGGCATATTCGGGACAAGTGGCTGTGGTGGCCTTTCATAGCTTAAATCTGCATAAATTTATCTGCAAATAAATCTGAACCCCGTATGAATTCTAGGGTAATTGAACTGTTTGCAACACACCCCTTTCCTCAAATGCCATTATCACGTCGTAGGCTGCAACAGCCAAACAGCACAGCTCAACTTCAATATAAACAAAAAAGGTAGACTAAAGGACCGGATGATCCGAAACCTTTTTACGGAAAATCAAAAATTAGATTTATTTCAACTACAAAGTTCGCCAAAGAGTAGCTAACAATGAACCGCATGTCTTCCAACAATGTAACAAAAGGACAGCATTCATATCTCAGCTCTAAAAATTCTAATTGAACTACTGCAGCATAACGGAAATTCTGAAACTTCTGATATAAAAACATCTTTTGATGACGATTTCATCATATCCGCTGGAAATCCTACANNAAAAAAAACTACAACTCACAACAAAATCGGTCCTCAAAACGACCAGCAGTCGTGAAACCTGATATCAGAGAAGAAGCTTATTATGTACAAAATCTGATTGGTCGCACAATCGTTCCCTTACAAAGTGAAGGGCAAAAAAAGAATCAAAACATGGGAATTCAGAAATAAGCTAATCAGAAGGGACCATCTACTCTATTCAGATTTTGATACAACATCTGACAACCCGATTCCCCTCGGCATTTGTTCTAGACCAGCCAACGCCTTCTCATGCCGCTCCTCTGACCACTTTCGTCGATCGTCACGAGTCCACCGCGGCACGACTCCGTCAGCAAGCAGACGGATCATCACCTGGAAAGATTAAGGCAATAGTTACTGATTCCCAGAAGAAGACTCGATCTCCAATAGAAAATTCAATAAAAAGTGAGTTCGAAATTGTTGATCATTAAAAAATAGGAAAAAAAGGAGAAAGGGAAAGGATACGACATAAAAAAAGGAAAAGGAAAAGGATTCGACATCCAAAATGCAAAAGATCAAATCAAGAGTTCTGGTGAAACCATTGGAAATATCCCTTACTTCTTCGTGGTTCCGGAAAGGATGCTTCCGCCATTCAGCTTCTTTATGGCCAGGAGTATCCACGTAGAATGGAAGCGGCTTGGGTTTCCTCAATGGATAGCGTCCTTCACCGTAAAAATCGTCCAAATTCAATCGCTAAACGAAGTTTCAGCGATTTCACCATGGATTCACAAAATGAACTGTAAATTTCTAGAATTCATAGGGAGCAAGCTCCAGTGCAAAAACGTTTTTTGTTCAAACAGTTGGAGATTAGTTCTCACATCAAGATCCTCAAGTNAAAATGAAAAATAAACTCCACTGAAGAATGAGTTTGAAGGATCTCACGACTCTTCCAAGGATGGAGCACCCAGTACAGCGAGAAAACGATATCCCAAAAAAACAATGCATTCCTCCATTGGTTCTCAAGCTCTCCGTCTCCCCACTTCCCCTTTTCTCCCACTTTACCTTTTTTTTTTGCTATCTTTTTCATCACGGATTACATGGCCACCTCAGCACAACGACCTGAGGTCTTTCTGGTCTTTTCGAGGCACCCCTTATAATCAGAATCGGACCATTTCCAACTCTCTTCTAATCGCATACAGGCTGAGTTATGAGTCCTGTATTCATTAACAGACGGGAGTAAACCAGCATCCCACAGTCGACGCACCGTGCTCATCCATGACACCACTGGCCTATCATGCACTTTCTCAGAGGCTTTATTAGCCCCTGAGAAATGAGAAAAGTAGTGCTAGTGCTCATACAATTACGGGACCACGAGACCACAAATTAGAACAAATGGATGGTATACCGGTAGCGCAGTGAAGAAGCACGAGGCTCACGAAGCATGGGCGGTGGGCGGGAGTTCAAATCACGGGACATGAATGGAGTGAAGTTCTGCTACGTTCGTGGCCTTCACACCCTTACAGTACTAATCGCACTGTGAATTGTGGCAAAAGCACTGGTAACCAAAACGCACTGGGAGCGTTTTAGCTAGCTCGTGTCCCCTCCCCTCTCCCTCCCTCTAAACTACCAATCCTTTTCAGTGAATTCCTCTCATTTTATGAGCCCATCACCATGGCACATTGTGCTGAATGAGTGCCATTAAAGCGACCATTTCGCGTGCAAACCGTTTACCAAGAATCATAACCAGTAGTGCACCTTCCGTGCCATTTACTATCTCTTTCAATCCACCCTTACGCTTTTTCATCATTCAATCAGGTGGCAACGATCTTTGAATATTATCTTCTATTACTGTCGTTCTATCCATTAAATGGGGCCTACGAAATCGTTGTGTGGTCAGGCCTGGCGGGACTACAGGAATAAGCATTTTCGGTTCTCTTGTCATATTCTACAACTGCTGAATCTATTCCTATAATCTGCATACTTCTAGTACCTTCTCCAACAAAACTTTTACTGTCTAGTTAAAATTTACCTTTCCGTTCCGCCAATTGCTGATGAGTTTCTTGATTCAACAGACCGGTTACAAAGGCATGCGTCAGCGCAAGATAATTTTTTGTCGAACCTTCCACTTTCACGTAAATGTCTTTTATACCAATCGCCTAAATATCATTGGATACAGAAAGGAGGTTCTAAAATTCAATCAGCCTAAGATCGGTCGTTGTACAGATCAGAAGTTCACGCGCTTTTAGGACTGGTTGACACAAGGCAAACCCACATAGCGCCCACTCATATCAGTCACTAACCCCAACTTTTTCGATGAGCTTTCGAAAAACTGCCTCTTTGCTGGTGCTTCGCTTTATATGTAATGGGATTCTCTCAATTTATGATACATCATTCTTTCAGGATCAATTAGTGACAGCATATTCCTGCCCACGCAGCAACATCGCCGTGACATACAATGGTATGGGAGTCTAGATTAGTTACTTCGAAAAGAATTGAAACTCGAGCTTTTGAGCTTTCTCGAACTGCACATTTGTTGCTAGCGTCTATCATATCTACTCGACACTTCTCATTGAGATCATTACGGCTAGACCCTTTTGTATTGCATTGGGCAATGAAGACCACCAACACGACCGATTAAACTAGACGTCTTGAGAGGGAGAGCTGCCCAACACTAACGCAATGGATATGGGTAAGCTCCCGTTCAACTCTTAGAATAGGGTTACGCAGCGGCTATGCTGAGCCCTCGCACAGCTCACTTTCTCGTTTTTTTCTTCCTGATAAAAACGAAATTATTCCTCATTCTTCACTGATATCCACAGAACGCTTCGACCGCTGGCAACTTATGGAGAGTAACTAAATGACGTACCTCACAAATTTTGATTAGCCTTGGATGGCATGTGAGTCCAAAGCCTTGAGGGCGACGTTGTGCAAACACCCTAGTGTTACGGCATTCCGCATAGAAGTCCTTAAAAATCCAAACCTCATTTTCCATAATAAACCCCAAGGAATTTTTAACTTCCTAGAGGTAATCAACATGGTAGAAAATGTGCCTCAGTGTAATATTTTCTCTTGAAGTTATCGTAACCTAACAAAGCATCAGAACATTCTGAAGTCGGGCACTCTCATCTCAGGATTTCATCAGTAGCTAAAGTCCCCAAATCCCCATACAAATCATTAGAACTGCCCTTTAACCGTTGAACTGAAGTAGGTGGCTCTACCAACCTGATAAATTGTACGACCTTCAAGAAGTTCAACATAAAATAGCTTCCTTGCCGCCATATTCATTCCATTTACGATGGCTGTTGTAGTTCGATGAAGTGGAGCCTTAAAAAGTGAATGGTAATACGCGGAAAACTAGTAATATATATTTACAAAGTTTTGAGGATTCATGCTCACCATAATCACTCAAAAATATATAGGCAATCAAAAATTTCATGGATAAACTCGCCTTCCCTACAGCATAGCCAGCCAATCCGTTGCCGTTGCCTGTTATTACAAGAGCGGCCATGGTGTGTACGCGACCAAAAACTCGTGTCATAACTGCTGTTCTTTTCACCTATGAAGATCGAAGAGTTCGATCAGATTTAAATGGCTGAGACCGAATTATACCCAAAAAATAAACTCGAACAACTGACTTATTGCCCAGTAATTATGCCGCACCCATGGGTAACCATAAACAAAGTTCCTAATAACTAATCCCATTTGAATTAAAAAATACCTCCAGGCAATAGGTTTGGAAATCGTCAAACGAAACTCCATCAACCGGAGGCGGTGGACCAAGTTTCTGCCCTACCAGTTGGGTACCACTGAAGCCACGCTCAAGCGGATGCAATTTCTCCCGGAATCGTCGTCTCCCTCCCCTGAAAAGTTATTGAAAAAAAAAACGATCAACGCGATGCTCGAAAGACTCCAGCCTTACATCTTCTGTTCCTCCAGCGCCTTCCTCACACTTAACTGTCCTTCCTTGATTTCTTCCTCTGATTGTTCAGTAATTTTTACGTCTGGATCAACAGTGTTGATAGGGGCGTTAAGTCCAGGAAATTGTACTTTCATTGGACCTAAAGGAGAACAGAATAAAAAATGTGATCACCCTTGGACCTTATCTCCAGCATTACTTGACCACTATTACCCTGAAAAAGGATAAAAACGATACTCACTAGATCCTATTCGATAGAATCGATTCAGGTTGCGAATAGGTTGCCTTGTAGTCATACGACCTTTTTTCTGACCAGCCTTCGATACACTTGTTATCGTTTTCCATAGCTCACCAGATGTCCCTGAATTGATCCAAGGTGAAGCACCTACAGCCTGATACCGAATTTGATGTCACACAAATGGAAAATTTTCCCCTCAAAAATTGAGTTCAAGTCAAATACGGAATGGATACGGAAAATTGTAACTTTGCTTAAAGTAATGTGACGAATATGGTCCTGTCATTCCAGTTTCTCAATAAAAAATATAACTAATCTCGACTACAACTGATTTCAGCCAGCTTTTTTCCCGTCAGCGAAATACTAGAATTGTTGTGTTCCTAAGTTTATTAAGGCTCACTATTCGACAGGCGTGGTGATTGACGCTTGCGGGTATCGACCCCGGATTTGATTCCAGTAACAAATACGAGAGTCAATTGCCAATTGGTAGATTTTGTGCAATGATGAAGCAGTGGAGTTTCTATCAATCTACCGTACCCGCTGCTGACCTCCTTTATCGAAATCGGACCGCACCTTTCAGTTAAAATTGATTAGATAACGTGTTTATATAGCATCAGAGCTTGTTAAAGTCACCTAGCACGGCTAACTTGANGCGACCGCTACTTTTGAGGCATTTTAAATTGACAATTGATTGAAGACTAATGTCATGTTTCCAGTCACAAAGACAACAAGAAAAAAAAAGATAAAAATTACTAACTTCTCATAAAGAAGTTGACCGTATTGCTACGAATCTGTGTGAACGGTAATAACGATGCCATCCCTCCTGGAATGAGAAACAACTCACCAGCGAATCTTTTTCATTCTCATGAATTCAGCATGGGAACCGAATACGGTCTATAACAAACAGAACATAAAATCAATAATTCATTTATTTTTCACATCATGCGCTAACAAAAATTTCGAATATTGACCATAACCGTATAGCGACATCTCTCAGAACTTCAGGTAAGGGGCATCAGAAAGCCGTAAAAAGAAGAGAAACAAAACGAATTAAACAAATCGTAGCATATCACAGTTTGATATCAGAGGGGACAGCCCTCGAAATTCGTTCCATAGAACAAAAGGCAGATGAATGATTGAATTCCTATTAGTCAGTGTGAAAGAAAAGAAAGAGATTTAACAAACAAATAATTTAGTACAGTTAAAGGAATCGTAAACAAAAATACCCATCTTCGGCTACATTCTGTTAAGGCTTCGCTCTTGCATGTATTATGTCGAGGGATCGTGGATTGGTTCGTGAGATTTTCATCACGATTTTAGACCTATTTTACAAGATACAATATAACTAAGCGGCAAAAACTGAGCATACGTACATTGGCAAGACAAGACCGCATAATAAAGCTCAGTTTACCAATTACATGCTACAATTAGGATTCGTGAACAATCCCAAACCAATCCAAGAAACACTATCACGAGCGGTACCAAACCAAGTCAGAAATCACCTCAGAATCACTATCAGCTCATCACAACTAACTCTTTAATGCTTACCGTTACCAGCTAAGGCGGAATGAAGGACATCTTTAATTATATACCCAAAGCGAAGCAAGGAGTCTTTACTCATACAAACAGCACAATAAATAATAGCTACAGCCTACTCAGATATGCTGACCACGCCTCCACCTGAGGAATATAATCATGGGCACACCGGCCAAGATCGTCATCGCCACAATATCCCAATTGGGCCCAATATATTTTTCCAATAGCTGGACAACAGGATTCTAAATAATTGTACAATAAATTTGGACACTAGAATGAAGGGGGTTGACTGATAAGAACAGTTACTTCTGCGACATACCTTGTTTATTTGTTCGAGCACAAAAAGGACAGTAAGTTTAGCCAAGGCTAGCGCTACCGGAACAGCGGCGTCAGAACTCTGTTCAGCAGCCATATCGTAGAAACGTTTTGCTAAGTGAAGATCCTGAAAAACGAATTTTTCTGCACAGGCATGAAACCTCAGATCGTTTTGGTCATCCTGCTTAGTCGTTCCGAGTGCCACAGAACTAGATAGAATGCAATCAAAAACACAGGCGACTACAGCTCACGACTTTTCACGAGTAATGTGAGTGTGAATTCGATCCCCAGGCCGTACAACACCGTTTGCAGGAAGCTTCTCAGACGAAGAATGGTATCAAAACTGACCCTGGTGATTCCAAGTCCTTGCTCATGCATGAGACCCAAGTTGAACATAGCTTGTGCAGTAGCATGACGTTCAACTGCTAGCTTGTAATGTTGTGCAGCCTAAACAAAAAATCATTTGAATAAATCCACAACAGAAAAGTTGTGTTCCAAAAGTAAACACTACCGGAATTAAGTGTTATGCTGCTGCTTTTACATAGTTGCAGTCGGCCCGAATCCCCACATCTAATTCCTCTAACTTCTGGGTGAGAAGAACCAAAAACAACACGACAGAGAGCCTTGATACCGGGCCTCCGACAGTCATGTCGCAACATCAACAAAATGTCAAGAAGATCGGATATAAAGATTAAAAGAGGAATGAGGAGATATAGCGTATTCGCAGAAGAAAGACGATATTCACACCCCTTTCATGATGCCCCTTCCTGATCCCATAGTAGCAGTAAAATAGAACAAATTGACTAAATATGAACAGGGAGAAAAAGTTACCCACACAATGACGTAAATGAATAATAGAAATTCTGGAGGATCATATATGAAACTTCGAATTTTGATTACATAAAGTTGCCGAAAAAGATTCAAGACCTACGGATAGAAATCTAGGAATATACAAAACAAAAAGAATGAAGAGCTGTGAACATTAATAGAATAAAAATGAATCTTAAAAGAAGCTTACAATTGAAATTCTTTTAGATTACCTGTTGATAGTCAGCCGGCGTTCCCCAACCATAATAGTGATAGTCGCCAAGCTTGATTCTCGCCAACGGGTATTCTTGATTCGCTGCACGTTGCCACTGCACAATAGCTCTTTCGAGCACGTTTTCTTTAGAGGATGGGAAAAGCGAGTCGGCTTCGCCTAAACAATCATAAAGACATTCTATCCCTTATGAACCAAACAAATTCTCGCCTTTATCACAGGAAGAATGAGAGTAACTATAAAGAACAGTAGGAAAGGAAATCTGAAAAGCTCATACGAGAACACGGGCTTATGACAAACCTCTGTCTAAAATGTAAGCGACATTTGTTTGAGCCGGCTCATATCCGAGTTCTGCAAGGAACAAATACTTGATAGCAGCTTCATCTCGACGTCCTTCCTAAAAAGAAAGAGAAATCACCTAATTACACAAATCAAACTGTTGGCAAAATCTCTAGATGACCACTAATTGGTGATAAAATCTAATCGGTCAACACCACTCTGGTTCAATTAGTGGTTGTTTCATTTTATTGAAACTTTAATAATCAAAAATTCAAATAAATGAAACAACTACTGATTGAACCCTGACCGATTAGGATATTCAATTCCAGAACTTTTCAGAAAACTTCAAGTATATAAGACGAGAATTATTCAAACATGACACAGGGTAAGTCGCATACCTTATATGCAGTATAAGCCTCCATCAGACGCTCACTCCACCGACCGCGTTCGGCTACATTTTTGTAAAACTCAACAGCGGTAGTACACTGTCTAATTACACCGATTCCTAAAATAAGCCGGAAAAAAATTAAAAAAATCAAATTCGCAAAGAAAAGCATGCTTGTCCTACAGAAACCTTACCTGAAGAGTGCATACGAGCCAAGTTGTAGGATGCAAGTATGTGACCGTTCTGCGTTGCCATTTGATAGTACTTCAAAGCAGCTTTGAAATCTCTTTTTACCCCCAGGCCTTCTAAAATTAAAGCAATGATGGTATAGGAATAAATGTATGATGACCTATAGATAGCTACACCACTTCGCCGGAAAGTAAGTTGATGTAAGATAGAAAAAAACGTACTGAAATACATTTCACCAAGATACAACTGAGCGTCTACCCATCCTTGCTCAGCAGCCAATGAGAACAAACGATATGCTTTCTCATAATCCTTGCGAACACCTCTTCCTTGCAAGTACATCACACCCAAGCCAGCCTGTCCATTTTGGTTTCCCTGCAAAGATTAATTAGTTTCACGACTAAATTCAAAGTGATCAACACCAACTGGACCTCGTCAATAAAATGGCTGATGACGACAATGTAAAGCACAGCTTTTAGACGAACGAGCACTCCAGCCTACCTTGTCAGCGCTTCTCAGGAACAGATTGAAGGCCGTTGTATTATCTTGAGGTGTGATGTGGGTTCCGTCAAGGTACATCTTTCCAAGGAAAGCAAATGCACCAGCATGACCTGACTCAGCAGCAGACGAGAAGTACCTGAGTAAAGACAATTGAAAGCAAGAAAGAATTCAAACGTGGAGTTTTTTCAGCATCAATTAGTCTAATTTCAGGAAGGTACGTCTAAAATTCTAGCATCCAGATTCGTGATAACTAGCCTGAGAAGAAACTTATTAGTTGAACACTCACTTGTTTGCTAGATCGAAATTCTGCTCGACACCTCGTCCTCCAGTCAGGTACAGTTGTCCTAAGCCAACCTGCAAAGAAGGGAACTAGAAGAATAGTCAAAATGCAAGAGACATCTTAGGAGAAGTGTCACAAATAAGAGTATGATGGAGTTCCTGTAAGAATCACATTGAACGAACAACTGTTTAAACCTTAACAAATGATCGACAGCTCCCAATTATAAAGTACAGTCGCTCAATTAGTTCCGACCTCTCACCCAGGTAAATAGGAAGAGGCGGAACCTCCACAGATTAGAAAGGCAAGCGTAACGAAATAGTAGTAAAGACCCTCACCTGTGCAGAAACATCGCCTTTCTCTGCCAGAAACCGGTAGTATTCAATCAAATTTTGATCCATAGGCACTGTTATTGTATTTGTTGAAGATGGTTCCTGAAAAGGCAACTGAATCATTTCATTTTTTTTGCAACCCCTCCAGTCGATAAAAATGCTAAATTTTCTCAAATGATATGCACAATGTTTCAATGCTTCCAACCACAACACTTACCATTTCATCGGTCAATCTTATCCGTTGGATCGCTAGACCAGTCGAAAACCTAAATCCTTCGGCAACTTTCTGAGCCGCCTTTTCGTAAT